GTTTTCTTGAGTATTAACTTATATAGTTCACTAAATAACCATGTGAGTTTAAATCTCAGAAAACATACACTTCTCTTTTGATTCTGTGTTATAGTTTTATGTAACTGGAAATGTTTTAAGTTGAAATTGCAATAGAATTTTTAAAAATTTGGATTAAGTGTTAAATTTATAGAGTTAGACTTGTTTGCAACCTTAATGCTTAAGTTTAGAATTTTGACAAAAATTATTAACCCTGTAAAAGAAAATGTATGGTTTTCCTACATATTGAATTAGAATTCTGAAATAAAGTTTCTGGTAGTGTTGATGACTTTATTGTATACACTTTGAATTGATCAGTTAAGAAGATTGTTACAAAATTAACACCAAAGTTAACAGTAAAACAAATGAATAAACATACCCTTCATGGACATTTTATAACTATATAAAGATTTATAAAGATATGATCTAACTTTAGGGGTGAAATTAATTTGTAAGAAACTAAAAATATGAGTATCATATTTGATAAATTCCTACATATCTGTTGTAACTTTGTAGGAAGATGAATGAAAGTTGTTTATTTGTTAACACACACACACTGTATCTTGTTCTTATTGGAGTTAAATGTTTAATGTGTAGTGTTTTATTAAAATGGTCTTATTTTTTTGGATACATCAGAGTACTTTTGTAAGATTCAGCAGTTAAAAGTATGGTTTGTATCACATAATATACAGTGCCTTGCAAAAGTATTCACCCCCTACCAATAATATCACATTTTGATGAAATAGAAATAATGTAAACAATTTTTTTTAATGAATCTATTTTTATTCAAAACCCTAATGATCAAACTTAACACTGTTATGTGTGAAGGATGTTGAATGTCGGCAAAACTTGCAAAGAAAATATATAAATTGAAAATTGCTGATTGCATAAGTATTCAACCCCCTAAGTACTTGGTAGAAGTGCCTTTGGCAGCAATTATGGCTGTGAGTCTTTTTGGATAGGTCTCTACCAGCTTTGCACAATGGGATGATGTAATTTTTGCCCATTCTTCCTAGCAAAATTGCTCCAACTCTGACAAGTTTGTTGGGGATTGTTGATGGACTGCAATATTTAAGTGTAGCCATAAATTTTCTATTGGATTCAAGTCAGGACTTTGACTTGGTCACTCCAGGACATTCACTTTCTTCTTTTGAAACCACTCCAGTATGGCTTATGCCTTGTGCTTCAGGTCATTGTCCTGTTGAAATGTGAATTTTTGACCCAGTGTTAGATTCTTGACTGACTCAAGTAGGTTTTCCTCTAGGGTTCACCTGTACTTTGCACTATCATTCTTCCCCTCAGTCCCTACTAATGAGAAGTATCCCCATAACATGAAGCTGCCACCACCATGCTTGACAGTTTGGATGATGTTGACTGGGTGATGTACTGTGTAGGGCTTGCACCAGAGGTAACGTTATGAATTTAGACCAAAAAGCTCAATTTATGTCTCATCTGACCACAAAACCTTCTGCCATGTGTCTACAGTATAATTTACATGCTTTGTTGTAAACTCCATACAAGATGTAAAATGATTATTGTATTGTCTTGCCACTCACCCATACAGGCCAGCTTTGTGTAGGGACTGGGATATTGTCGATGTATGGACACTGACTCCCATCTCAGACATGAAACTTTACAAATCTTTCAAAGTCACTGTTGGCTTCACAGTAGCATCCCTAACCAGTTTTCTTCTTGCCTGGAAGGGCAGCCTGATCTGGGTGGTATAAAGCACATTTCACTTATTAATGATGGACTTCACCATACTCAAAGAGATAATCAGTGACTTTATAATTTTCTTTTAACCTTCTCCTGGGCTGTGCTTCTCTACCACTTTATCCCTGACATATTTGGAAAGCTCCTTGGTTTTAATGGTTGATTTAT